AAAAATATTTCTGGTTACATATAAAGGATATACCAATATTGGCAAAGCAGGCATTCAGTTTCATACGGAATTGCACACTGTCAAGAGATATTTCAATTATTTACAGATAAATATATAATACATAGTTCTCAGTACGTGGGGCTTTGGAATTCACAATTCATCAACATTCTCCATCTTTGAGTATTTTAAATTACATAAGATCATAGCTTACCTAGAAGGCAAGTAACTCTCCTTATTTTGCAATAAAAGCACTCAGAGGAGAACCCACACTACCATTACCTACATCTCAGCTGGTGGTTCTAGTGTTCATTCATAATCAAGAAGAGTGGAAAATGGATTTGTAGAAAGTTCTCAGGGCCTGACAGAAGGTCCACACGGCATGCATCCATATGCAAACTTTGAGACAAGACATACTTATTTAGAAATGCCATGGAATAGGACAGATATTGTTGAGAGAGAAATGGAGCTAGAAACAAGTTTCAAAGGATGGCCTTGCAAATAAGACTAGATACTTTGGACAAACAGAACTATGAAAGATGTATTGTAGTGGGACCCACTTTAAGGCATCTACAACATGGCATGGCAAAAAGCTAGGCCAAGAAACACTTATAGTATATTTTCATTAGGAAATAGCTGGCTTCTGATTGTGATGGTGTGAATTACAAACATCTGCATTGTGTCACCCTTCTCATGAGACTGAAAATGGAATAAAAGTTTTTAAAACGCCTCTCAGTTGCCCCGTCTCTGGGTCAGGAAAAGGGTATTGTCCTATAAAGAACCATGTCTATTCAAAAAAAATCAAAGACTTGAAGGTGTAATTCATGTGGTCAAATGTAGACATAGCCTTCAGAATATAACCCGCCAAGGATTTGAAGTGGAGACTATGATGGAGAATGCCACATCCAGTCAGATGAAACCATTCCCATCCACAGGAGACACATTTCCTGCCTTTAGTACAGTTCCCCACATGTGTGCCTTAACTACTACACTGCCACAGGTCACTGAAGCAGCATTAGGAGAGGGTGGCTTTCACTGCACATGTGTCAGTGGCTTGCTGGACAGCCTTTCTGCTGTGTTCACTTGTTTATGTGCCCGTTTTCCTTTTCATCTTCTGTAAGCTTTTTTCAGGTGGGTAGTACTTGGCAGGAGTTCCCTTGCTAAGCATTAGTAGACACCCTACCATAACTCAGATCCTTTTTTGGGATCACTGTGTGTTAGCATAATGAAAACAACAGGAAGATAATAGTGCTGAGCAATCCTACTGCTTCAGCCAAAGAAAACAAACTTTCACAGCAAAGCAAGATTAGAATTTTTGATCTTTACCTCTGAAGAGTCTTGGACTAAACCTATGCATTAAAAAACAAAAACAAAAACCAAAACCCAACCAAAAAAAAAAAAAAACCAACCAAAAAAACCCCAGACAAAGAGCAAGCAAGCAAAAAAAAAAAAAAAAGCACAGAAATCACACTGTTGTTTCAATGGCCCACTATATTACTCTGTATTTCTCTGTATTTACGTATTCACAGCACTATAGATACACTAGAGAAACAGTAGAGAGAGTTAAAGGCTTCCAGAAGACAATCTGGAACTCAGTGACATGAATGACTTGTAAGTAATTCTAGGTCTAGTAACTTGGAAGATGACTACTTCATGTCCATCCTTTGTGCTGGGAATATATAAAGGGACTACTCCACTAACAGTCATCAGTCAGATGACCCACATCTCTCTCCTCTTCCTTTTAACAGGGATTAGCTTCTCCCTGTGTTAACAAGGACTAGACACCCTTCAGCAATGTCTTTATGTTTTGTCCTGACCTCCTTTATTGTAAAAATTTTTATTATTTTTTAAAATGTGCTAGCTAGTGCAGACTATTGATTTGGATTGTTTTAGCAGCAGATGTTTCTTTTTTCTTAAGTCTTAAGACCTAAGGAACACTACATTGCTCAAGCTTATCATGAACACAGAGATTTACTTTAAATGTTAACAATAGTTGACTTTGCCATGGAAGAGTGCTAATTAAAGGAAAAACAAGAAGCAGCTGTAAAATATGATATCATTCAGTTAAAAAGATGACGTTACAGAAGGTATGGAATAGGGCAACAGGTTTTATTCATCAGCAGTAACCTAGAATTTTGCTTTTTGCAAGCACAAAAATATATTCTATTTCTGAAAATCCATTATGGTATTAAGTCTGTCTTGATGTTTTGAGTTCTTTTCAGAACAAACTTCTTCCTGAGAACTGCAATAATAAAGGCAGCTACCATATTCCTACTTCGCTACGATGCTGTATAAATGCTAATATACTTTAGCTAACTATAGTGAAATAAAACTTACCTTAAAAATCAAATCCTTTTTCCCATAATGAAGCTCTTTCAGCTGGGCTTGGATCTTTTTTGACTGAAAATGAAGATAATCAAATCAGGTTTTGGGTTTTTTAAATTTTAAATATTAAAAAAAATTATGTGAATTCTGAGAACAGCAGAACCTAGATCAGATTTATAATGTAGAATGTCCCCCTCCAAATAATTGTCGATTGCTTTTCCAGTTTCACAAGTCAAACCAACCAAAAGTACTGAGGAAAATGCAAAACGGCACACAACTAAAACACATACCTGAGTTAGGACTGTAAAGAACAGCAGCTGGGCTTACACATTTTGGACATGAGCTGTTATTAATACTTGCCATGAAGCATAACTGAAGGCATCAACTTCAAAGTAAACAATCTTATTCTTAGAAGCAAAAAGGCTCCATAGGCTTATAAAAGTCTTTGTAAAGATCAGGGTGTTGCAGGTGTACTACTTTGGAGCTACCTTCTCAGTTTGTAACCATGCCCTTGAAAGTACAGGCATAGTTATGCTTATTTATATCAGTTTAAGCTGATATTTACTTTATATATTGCTAAATATATCCTTAAAATAATTCTAACTAGTAGTCTATATATTATTTTATTAATTGAAACAAAAGAAATAGAAATTGATTTTTTGTACTAAACTCAACTATTCAAGGAACATTATTTCACCATTTACCCAAGCATCCTCTCAAAGTAATAATTTGTTTTTAATAAAATACACAATCCCAACTGATAAACAAGACACTCTCTTGTATTAATTAATGCCAAGTGTTTCGAAGTCCTTGGAATGGATTAGAAATCTGTTTCACATTTACTGAAAGAGCATTCCATAAACATAATATATTACAAAAGGAGTATATCTTAAGTTGGAATTTTAAAAAAGATTTTATTTCTTACCAATTGATGCAGTCCAATTCAGTGACAGACTTTTGGGAAGGCTGAATAAATCTAAGGAATGGTATTCTGTAAAATCTGAAACTAATAGCAAAGATCAGTCCAGCAAAATTCTTTGAAACAATTTTGATTTTGAAAAACTTAAGAAAAACATTTCTAATCCTATTATTTCCTACGTTTGAGAATTTACCAGAAACTTGACTTTCTAAGTACTGATCTCAAAAGGCATAGACTCTAATGAAGAAAATGCTTTCAATCATCATTAGGAAAATTTTAGTACAGAGGAAATTTTTTATGCTTTGGTTTCTTTCTGGCAAGGTGCAATAACCTTAAGAGCAATTATAGATGCAAAAAACCCAGACTAAAGTAATGTGAATAAATCAGATTCACATGTAATAACTTTTTTTTTTGAAATTAAAAGAGAAATAAAGGGAATGCTTATAAGAGTGCAGGTACTTCTACATTGAGGAATTTGCCAAAGACAGGATCTTTATTCCCCTGAAATAAGGAAGCATTCTGGAAATCAGTAATAATGGATTGTTCCTGTCTCAACTTCAAAACAAGCCTTTGGCAATTCCTGGCTTAGTGTAGACAAGGAGTTCATGTAAATGAAATCAGTTTTATATATGTTATAGATGCATATATCTATAGAATTATATCATAGGCACGCCTAGATGATTTTATCAGTCTAAAACTAGAGTTTGCAACTTGCTTTCTAATACATTTGAACTGCTTCTTGTGAAGTCACAAAAATAAGTTGGGATGACAGCACTTCAGGAACACTCACCATATAAGCATAATATATATATATTTTCTACTCATATGTGTTTTTGTATATATATAAAATACACCAGGACCTCAGTACAAAATACTTAGATGCAAATTTTTTTGGGGTACATTAGATTTAGAACAGAGAGGAATCTTCCTTACCTCTTCTGCGTGCAAAGCACCAAGCTTGTTTCCTGACCAGAGCTTGTTTTTGAGGCTCGGGCCGCCCGAGCCGCCGCCGCCCCCCGCCCTGCGCTCACAGACACCGCCCCGCGCGCCGCTCGCGGTGCTGCTGACCCCACAGCCCCTGTGCACGGCACCGGAACCGCCGCGGAAAATCCCGTCGGGGGGCGCCGGCGTTGGGGACAATTCAGGCAGTGTAGAAAAAACAGACACGGGTCCTCGAATGCCGACGTCCTCTTTTTCGCGCCATCTCGAGAAGGTCAAGCGAGTCCGCGACAAGCCACTCCCAAGATGGCGGCCGCGGGCGGCGGGCTGCAGTACCGCCCTCTGCCCACAGGGCGGCAGCACTGCCGCCCGCCACCGCCGGGGGCCGCCGCTCGCCTCGGGGCCGCGGGCGGGGCCGGCGGCAGAAAAGAACGGGCGCGATGCCCTCCGGAACCTGCCCTGCAGCAAATGCCCCAAAACATCCCGCGCGGAAAAGAACGCCAGCAAAAAAACCCCTGCCTCTAACCCAACAGGAACCAAAAGCAAAAACCTTCTCTTTTAAACTGCATTTCAAGCTCTTTTATTTTTATATTTTTCATATTTATATTCACATTCGGGTTACTAATGTATATTGATGTGTAATTGTATTTTTATAATTTCTTACATTTATTCCTTTATTACAATTTATATTTTTATGCATTGCTTAATACATTGCTTACATATTTCTATAGATAGATTTCTATTTCTAAAAGGTTTATATTGCTTAAAATAAACCCCTGCCTCTATCCAAGTAAAAATTTTTTAAAAAACCCCTTTTCTTTTAAACTGCGATTAAATTTATCTCTATATTTCGCATTTATATTCAAATTTACGTTTAAAATGTAGATTGATGTATGGTGTTATATGAAAGTATAAAATAGAAATGAAAATAAATATTCAGAAGAGATAGAATAGAAAAATCTCTGCATACATTGAATATATATTTCTATATTTAGAATGATATCAAAATAAAAGGTATATTCATTTTTCTTCCATTAAAACCCTGCCTCTAACCAAATAAAAAGCAAAAAAAAGCCCCTTCTTTAAACGACACTTGAATATTTAGATATTGTTTTCATCATTATAGTCACATTTGCATTTCTACTTTATAGTGACGTATTTAGAAATATATATATATATAAAGGTAGCAAGATAGACAAATTATTATTTATATTATATTTCACACATACTGCTAATACTTATTTTTACTTACCTTTGAATTTTTTATATAGATCCCCAGCAACAATATTTAGAGTATCTGCAAATAAAAGACTGGGAAACAGTTATTTTACTCCATCAGAACTTGGGAAAGGCCAGATTTAGATCTCTCCAAAGGGTCAAAGCTACATAACACCAGTTAATACCATTTACTGTAGAAGCTGAACTGATTTTGGTCTACACATAAGTTTCCTGTTTCTGCCAAACTTCTGCATGAATATTAAAAGTCTGAAGAATGACCACAAGCAGATCACCTAAACCTACAAGCTCACTGTTTCCCATTTTTAACCATGCCAGGATCTTCTCTTTTGATCACGTGAGTGGACATTTCCCTCTAAAACCTTCTGACCTAACCAAGAAGTCTCACCATTACCACTGTGCTTGTTTATCTCTCCAAAGAAATCAGTGTCCCGAAGCAAAACCTCCCATAACAGAAATGATGGTGACTTTTATGAAGGACATTTTTTGTATTTATCAGGCATTCACTGATTCAATTCCTTGTTATACAAGTAATTCTCCTCCTACAGAAGTTACATTTACCAGGCTGCGGTACCTTAGAGACACCTATGGAAACCGTTTCAAAGAAAGCCAGCGCCTTTGTTACTCTGCAGGCTTCAGGCAACAATGGAGGCAACAATTCATTAAGTGAATGAAGTGCTGTAGGTAATTCCACAATTCCCCTTGGAAGTCATGAGTGAATACCAACCACTCAGTTCTGACGATCTGTCAGCAGTCAATCTGTCTGCAACACAGTTTCTGCCACAGCATAGAAGAGATGCTACTCTGCCTTCGATTTAGTTTCTTCTAATTTAATGGCTCTCCAAATTGTATTCTCTACTGGGATCGCTAATTCACTTCTAGGAAATCATTTTAACAGACCAATTACAACAGCAAATACAAATGCTGTACTCAGAATGAATACATTTATACTCCTCCCTGCTCCTCCTTCTTCCTGACATTTCCTTTATACCTGAATTGCCATGAATGAAGTTTAATACTCTGTGGGCCCTTATGGCAGATGAAGCTCAAATGGTCAGCCTTGCACAGCTCGTGCCTTCATAATCCACCCTCTAAAAACCTTATTCCAAACTTACCCTAATCCTCATTGGTTTAAAAAAATCCTCTCTGTCTTATCTGCGGTAAGTCAGACTGAAGAAGGTGTCACAAAATTTAACACCACGCAAGGGACTGAAAAAATGTAGAACAGATTCCTGGGGCTCACAGACACAGCCCTGGAGCGGCCTCACCTTTTGCTGGAACTCCCTAAATCCCAAATTTCAGAAGGAAGCCGTGAAATGACTATTTACAAGAGTGGAAGTCAGGGCTGTGCTTGCAGCCTGACCAGAATTGCCTTTGTCTCCATCCCCTTCACCCATTTACAGTTCTGATGAGTGACCACCCCCAGCAGCCTGAGATGACCACTCTTCCCTTCAGATCTTTGCTACCTGCTAGATAAAAAAGACATTTTCATAGGGAAAAAAAAAAAAAAAAAAAAAATTATTAGAAGTATTTTGACTTTTCTTTAATAAATACTAAAGGGGGAGAGGTGGTGGTGATAGGGAGATAAAGGGGTTTGCATCATCGTAACCCAAATCTGATTAATTTTTTGGGGTGAAGAGATGATTTATGTGATATTGCCTGGACATTAGACATCTACCTGTAGTTGTGAGCAATCTCAATTCTACACACATTGCTGCAGGTTTGGAGCACTGCTGGTGCAGGCTGGCAAGTGGGGGGGTCTGTACTGATGGGATCCAAAACACAGCTCCCTCGGTGGCATTTGTGCCACTCACTTTAGTGCGGTGGGGTTTGTGTGGTAGGCACATTCACTGCTGTCTCAGGATTTTTTCATAGAAGAACACAGAACAAAGAAGAACACAGAAGAAAGAAAAAGAAAACAATTTCTATTTCTGCTCCTTCTTTTCCCTATGTGGAATGTGTTTGGAGAATTACTTACCTGGGGTGAGTGCTTGGTTGGATTCTGGTGAGGATTGCTTGAGTCTGATGGCCAATCCAACCCTCCTGGGGCTGGGCTCTCAGAGGGTCACGAGTTGTGAGTCAGTGAGATTTGGTAGGTTTGTAGTTTTAGTATCTCCTTGAAATAGTATATGAATGCATTATAGTATAGTTATAATAAAGAAATCATTCAGCCTTCTGAACTGGAGTCAGACATCACCATTTCTTCCCACCGGGTTCACCTGCATTTACAATAGCTTTGGGACAGCAACTTCCCTCCAGAGGGGAGTGAAGAATCATCTGGGCTGGATGAAGAAGGGAAAGAGATGAAGTAAAGTAAGCAAGTGTGCTTTGAAATGTGGCAGCTGAGAGAAAAAAAAAAGACTTCGTAAAACAAACAAAGTATGTGGATTAACTCAAATGTGCAAACGTGTCCAGGGCTCAAGGACCAGAGGCAGTGAGGGCTCTGGGTGAGGTACAGGGAGCAGACAAGCACACGAACTCACCAGTAACAATGCTGCCACAGTGGTGGGGGAGAGGAAAAAAGAAAAACAATCTGTGTGGGGACCACTGCCCTTCAGCAAGACACAGACTCCTGCATCCACTGGGAAAACAAGGCTTTTTCCTTGACTGTTGTCTCCTTGCCCTCTGCCAGCGTGACTGTGAGTGAGGCAGACGCATGGATCAATGCCACATGCATGGACTTACCTTTGTGGCTCCCGAGTCCAGAAGCAAGAAAAAGCTGAGTGAGGAGTAATTTGGAGATTGCCATTGAGCATTCCCACATGCAGTGCCCATGATGGAGCAGGACAGGTCTCATGGATGGTGGTAACACTCTGGGCAGTGCCCAAATTGGCAGTCTTTAGTCTTGGTGTCCAACCAGACACAGAATGTGGGAGATGCAAAAGCACCTTCACCCACACCTTTCCTCGAGCAAGGGCCGGAATGGAGTCAGACACATCCCTCACCGGCACCGATGTCCAGCCAGGAGATCACGCCAACCTGATGGCAGGCTGTGGAGCTGTCACAGCACAGAGGGACCACCCCTGCAGGACCAGCAGGGTAACATGACAAATTACCTTCACATCTTTCCCTGTGGCAGAAATTCAGTGCAGCACTGCAGCACCCACCTCTGAGGAAGGTGAAATTCTGCAAGGGGACGTGGACTGTCCTAAAAAATCTGCAGACCCGTATTAAGTCCACATCAAACATTTCACATGAACACAATAAAGTCCAAGAGGGCAACCAGCCTTTTTTGACATAAAAAACCCCACACAACACTTTAAAAAATACTGATTTTAGTCATGTCTAGCCTATTCAACAGCGGATCACAACCACAAATATCAAATTACAAAGCTTTCACCAGGTTCTTGCCTGTGCAATGCTGGATTTGAGTCAAGCACATATTACAGCACCACCACTAATGACAATGATTGCTGTTCAAAGCTCACTTGAGTCCCATCTCCCTGGTGCACTTCCAAGCCCAATATCCTTTTTTTCCCCCACTGTGTGTGGGATTGTCTGCAGAGAATTTGTGTTCTTGAAGCCTGAATGCAGCAAACATCCTGAAGCACATACCCCAGCTAAAAATTCCCTACACCTCATTTGTTCTTTATTTGAAAGGCTTCAAGTTTCCAGAGAAACAAACAAACAGAAAGGCTCCCACCATCAACAATTTCTCAGAACTATTGGACCTGAGCTGTATAAATCAGGTCCAGTAAGGGAGCTGGAATTACTCATCTCACCACATGACCTGGCCTGCCAGTTCCGGCTGTTTTCCTTGGAATGACGCATCATCAGAGCAAGGTTTCACACCAAAAGCAAAGCACCTCTGTCTGTATCATGCCTGCTGATGGTGCCAGCACACAGTATGGCCCAAGGTGTCTGCCCCATGGATTTCCCCGGGGTATTCACACTTTTCCAAAGGTAGCCAGCACCTACGCTGACTCTGAAAACAATTGCCCTTGCAAGAAGGGTCCATGGCAGCTCGGGGCACTCGTGGTCAGCCACAGGGCCTTGACACACAGAACAGGATAAAGGGACTTGGAGGATTCCCACAGCTGGCCTGCACTGACAGATAGAGCAAGTCCCTTGGGATTGTGGAGTGAATTCTGCCTCCCAAGGACTGCAGGCTCACATCCACACCCAGGACTATTCAGAAGAGCTGCAGCAAGAGCAGACATCGGGCAGCTCAGGGTTTCTCTAAGCCCAGTCCTACAAGCCTGTGGGAGCCACAGGTAGCCAGGAAGTTCCTGAGAAATCCAGACCCTCAGCCAGCAGCACAAAGTCCCAGAGCTGCCAAATCAGAGAGAACTGCCTTCCACCTCTTTTCGCTCACACACTGGTGCTGAAAACTGCCAGACAGGCTAAAAGTCACTCAGGGAGATATAGAGGGTGTTACTGATAAAGAGTTCTAGGGAAGCTGGATGGCCAGCATCCATCAAACTATCTTCTGGAAATCCCAGCTGTCACATTTCACTCCACTTTTCCCTTTAACTCAGGCTTTCCCCTTCCAGAATCAATTCTTCCTCCCCACCCTCTCCCACTCCCTGTGCAGATAGCTGGCAACACGCACAAGCTGGATCCACATGTGGTCACTGAAATTTGGCTGCACAGCTGACCTTTGCTGCTGCCAAAGGGAGGGAATTCCAGGCCAGAGCACCCCTCTCTGCCTGCCCTTCACTTTTCAGAGCTAATTGGCTTTTCTATCCCTTTCAGCACAGCACAGCATGGCCTCGTGGAGCTTGAAAAGCAGCAGTGGTTTTTATCACCATGGTGCAACGGAGAGAAGACTTCAGAGCATTTTCTGGGAACGCCACATACAGTTATATTACACTTGCAGAATTGTCTGGCTATTGTGTCTCCTAAGTCACACAGTGGACTACAAACAGTGCTGTTTCAGTGAAACTCTCTACAACCACTGAAAGTAAGTCACTAACTCTGTTAGAGCAGGCAATGGACTCACATGTTCACAAAAACTGACTACACATGCTAAAGCCAGACGCTTTGTAGGTAAATGAGAAACACCTCTGGTTTGGGGCCCATCCCTCAGGCAGCAGGTTTTTTTTGCATGGACAGGATGATTACTACTTGCGGGGCTATATGAAACATTTACCTTTTTATCCAAGTTATGAAAGAATAGCTTTGAAAAGCACAGTAATCCAAGGCCAAAAAGACAGGCAGACAAATGGACAGATTTCAGCCACTCGTTTGGTTTTCTTGGCGAGAGCTTTTTGCTCTTCCAAGGGCTGACCTTATGCATTTGCCAGGTCTGGATGATCCACTTGAAAAAAAAAAAAAAAAAAAAAAAAAGGCTTAAAGGAAATTTCAACAGCAGACTCTTCTGGAGGTGTCTTCTGTCAATCTCCAGCTTCCCACAGGACTTGGTGCTTGTCTGGGGCTTTTGAGGAACAGCTCATAAATTGCTGCTATTCAGCCACTGGCAGTTGAATCCTGCTTTATTTAGTTTTTGGAATCTTGTAGTGGATCCTCCCTGCTTCCTTCCTCCAGTCCCTGCTCACATTTAGTTTCAGTTTCCTGGAGCTAAGAGTGTTGACCCCTTTAAAAGCAGCAGCAGCAGCAAGAAAACCACAAAGCAAGAAAACCCTGTCCTGACCATAAATGTTGTACCCTCTGCATAGAGAGAAACTCCACCAACTTTTCAGGAAGAAGATGCAACAAACTCTTTTGCAGCATATCCTGATATGACAGCCTTGCAGCATACAGAATCCAGCCTAGCAAGGAAAAAATAAAAAAAAAAAAGTGTTGTGTTAAAAAAAATGCACAAGGAAAAGGTGCTATTTTACATGGATCACAGTAAAGCCACAACAACCTAAGGGTTAATTTCTTCATGAGAATGTTTGAAGTCTAAATTTGAAATCTGTTGTCAACTGCAGCTGGCTAAAATGGAAAGGGCTACATTTCTTTGCTTACCTTGATGCCTACTGGGATCTGCTTTAGGGCCAATTTTGCATGAAGCTCCTGGGAATTACTCATCTGTCTTCTTGCATGAGATGAAATATATCTGTTAGAAGGTTGCAAAATGTGTTAGGATGCATTGCAGTGCTGTGCTCTTCCAGGACAGAGGCACAAAGTCTGATTCTTACCGTAGCTGGGACTTTGGGGATTCCCAGAGCCATTTTCATGGCATCTAATTTTAGGTCCTTTTCAGACAGATTTGTAATGACAATTTGGTTTATAGCCCCTCCCTCTGTGCCAGGGGCAGGAAAGTCTATCAAAGCAAATGAGGGAATTCTTCATCCTGGAATTCTGCAGGAATTCCCAATCCCGGAAATCCGGGAATTCCCCATCCTGGAATTCCGGGAGTTCTCAACATTGGAAATCTGGGAATTCTCAATCCTGGAATTCCCCAGCCTGGAATTCCGGGAATTCCCGCTGCTCCCTTTGCCTTTGGAGCTGCCCTTCCTGGCAGAATTCCCAGATTTCCTGGCGGAATTCCCGGATTTCCTGGCGGAATTCCCGGAATTCCGGGTTTTTTCCGGGATCTCTCCGTGCCCCAGCAGCTCCCGGAGCCGTTTCCGCTCCAGGGGGTCCCGGTAATTCCGGCTCCCGTAAAACTGAGCCACGGAAAGTTGGGAACGCACCGGGATTCCCGGAATTCCCGGATTTCCTGACAGAATTCCCGGATTTCCTGATGCCATTCCTGCATTTCCAGCCAGGAGTCCCGAATTTCCCGTTGGAATTCCTGAATTTCCAACTGGAATTCCCGAATTTCTTTCTGGAATTCCTGAATTTTCCGCCAGAATTCCTGAATTTCCTGTCGGAATTCCCGGATTTCCGGCGGGGATCTGCAGCCTCCGGGCCGGCGCCGCTTTCTCCACGATTTCCTGGGAATTTTGGGAATTTTTTTGGGTATTTTCTGGAGCTGCTCGGAGCCGTTTGGGCGGGGGGGTCCGGAATTCCCAGCGGGAGCTGAAAAAAAAAAAACGGGAATGAGGGAGGGGGGAGGGGCGGGAATTCCCAAATCCCAAAATTCCCAAATCCCCAATTTAGGGGATTTTTGGGGAATATTTGGGTTTTTTTGGGATTTAGGGGATTTGGGTGTTTGGGATTTTGGGGATTTTTGGGGGATTTTTGGAGGATTTTGGGATTTAGGGGATTTTTGGGGTTTGGGATTTTGGATTTAGGGGATTTTTGGGGGATTTTTGGAGCATTTTGGGGTTTGGGGGGATTTAGGGGATTTTGGGGTTTGGGATTTGGGGATTTTTGGAGGATTTTGGGGTTTGGGGGATTTTTGGGGGGGATATTTGGGGGGTTTTGGGGATTTGGGGGACTTCAGGGGGGATTTTTAGGGGATTTTGGGGGTTTGGGATCTGGGGGATTTTTGGGGTTTGGGATTTTGGAATTGAGGGGATTTTTGGGGAATATTTGGGGTTTTTGGGGATGTAGGGGATTTGGGTGTTTGGGATTTTGGGGATTTTTGGGGGATTTTTGGAGGATTTTGGGATTTAGGGGATTTTTGGGGTTTGGGATTTTGGATTTAGGGGATTTTTGGGGGATTTTTGGAGCATTTTGGGGTTTGGGGGGATTTAGGGGATTTTGGGGTTTGGGATTTGGGGATTTTTGGAGGATTTTGGGGTTTGGGGGATTTTTGGGGGGGATATTTGGGGGGTTTTGGGGATTTGGGGGACTTCAGGGGGGATTTTTAGGGGATTTTTGGGGTTTGGGATTTTGGAATTGAGGGGATTTTTGGGGAATATTTGGGGTTTTTGGGGATGTAGGGGATTTGGGTGTTTGGGATTTTGGGGATTTTTGGGGGATTTTTGGAGGATTTTGGGATTTAGGGGATTTTTGGGGTTTGGGATTTTGGATTTAGGGGATTTTTGGGGGATTTTTGGAGCATTTTGGGGTTTGGGGGGATTTAGGGGATTTTGGGGTTTGGGATTTGGGGATTTTTGGAGGATTTTGGGGTTTGGGGGATTTTTGGGGGGGGTATTTGGGGGGTTTTGGGGATTTGGGGGACTTCAGGGGGGATTTTTAGGGGATTTTGGGGGTTTGGGATTTTGGAATTGAGGGGATTTTTGGGGAATATTTGGGGTTTTTGGGGATGTAGGGGATTTGGGTGTTTGGGATTTTGGGGATTTTTGGGGGATTTTTGGAGGATTTTGGGATTTAGGGGATTTTAGGGGTTTGGGATTTTGGATTTAGGGGATTTTTGGGGGATTTTTGGAGCATTTTGGGGTTTGGGGGGATTTAGGGGATTTTGGGGTTTGGGATTTGGGGATTTTTGGAGGATTTTGGGGTTTGGGGGATTTTTGGGGGGGGGTATTTGGGGGGTTTTGGGGATTTGGGGGACTTCAGGGGGGATTTTTAGGGGATTTTTGGGGTTTGGGATTTTGGAATTGAGGGGATTTTTGGGGAATATTTGGGGTTTTTGGGGATGTAGGGGATTTGGGTGTTTGGGATTTTGGGGATTTTTGGGGGATTTTTGGAGGATTTTGGGATTTAGGGGATTTTTGGGGTTTGGGATTTTGGATTTAGGGGATTTTTGGGGGATTTTTGGAGCATTTTGGGGTTTGGGGGGATTTAGGGGATTTTGGGGTTTGGGATTTGGGGATTTTTGGAGGATTTTGGGGTTTGGGGGATTTTTGGGGGGGATATTTGGGGGGTTTTGGGGATTTGGGGGACTTCAGGGGGGATTTTTAGGGGATTTTGGGGGTTTGGGATTTTGGAATTGAGGGGATTTTTGGGGAATATTTGGGGTTTTTGGGGATGTAGGGGATTTGGGTGTTTGGGATTTTGGGGATTTTTGGGGGATTTTTGGAGGATTTTGGGATTTAGGGGATTTTTGGGGTTTGGGATTTTGGATTTAGGGGATTTTTGGGGGATTTTTGGAGCATTTTGGGGTTTGGGGGGATTTAGGGGATTTTGGGGTTTGGGATTTGGGGATTTTTGGAGGATTTTGGGGTTTGGGGGATTTTTGGGGGGGATATTTGGGGGGTTTTGGGGATTTGGGGGTTTGGGATTTTGGGGATTTTTGGGGTTTGGGATTTTGGAATTGAGGGGATTTTTGGGGAATATTTGGGGTTTTTGGGGATGTAGGGGATTTGGGTGTTTGGGATTTTGGGGATTTTTGGGGGATTTTTGGAGGATTTTGGGATTTAGGGGATTTTTGGGGTTTGGGATTTTGGATTTAGGGGATTTTTGGGGGATTTTTGGAGCATTTTGGGGTTTGGGGGGATTTAGGGGATTTTGGGGTTTGGGATTTGGGGATTTTTGGAGGATTTTGGGGTTTGGGGGATTTTTGGGGGGGATATTTGGGGGGTTTTGGGGATTTGGGGGACTTCAGGGGGGATTTTAGGGGATTTTGGGGGTTTGGGATCTGGGGGATTTTTGGGGTTTGGGATTTTGGAATTGAGGGGATTTTTGGGGAATATTTGGGGTTTTTGGGGATGTAGGGGATTTGGGTGTTTGGGATTTTGGGGATTTTTGGGGGATTTTTGGAGGATTTTGGGATTTAGGGGATTTTAGGGGTTTGGGATTTTGGATTTAGGGGATTTTTGGGGGATTTTTGGAGCATTTTGGGGTTTGGGGGGATTTAGGGGATTTTGGGGTTTGGGATTTGGGGATTTTTGGAGGATTTTGGGGTTTGGGGGATTTTTGGGGGGGATATTTGGGGGGTTTTGGGGATTTGGGGGACTTCAGGGGGGATTTTTAGGGGATTTTTGGGGTTTGGGATTTTGGAATTGAGGGGATTTTTGGGGAATATTTGGGGTTTTTGGGGATGTAGGGGATTTGGGTGTTTGGGATTTTGGGGATTTTTGGGGGATTTTTGGAGGATTTTGGGATTTAGGGGATTTTTGGGGTTTGGGATTTTGGATTTAGGGGATTTTTGGGGGATTTTTGGAGCATTTTGGGGTTTGGGGGGATTTAGGGGATTTTGGGGTTTGGGATTTGGGGATTTTTGGAGGATTTTGGGGTTTGGGGGATTTTTGGGGGGGATATTTGGGGGGTTTTGGGGATTTGGGGGACTTCAGGGGGGATTTTTAGGGGATTTTTGGGGTTTGGGATTTTGGAATTGAGGGGATTTTTGGGGAATATTTGGGGTTTTTGGGGATGTAGGGGATTTGGGTGTTTGGGATTTTGGGGATTTTTGGGGGATTTTTGGAGGATTTTGGGATTTAGGGGATTTTTGGGGTTTGGGATTTTGGATTTAGGGGATTTTTGGGGGATTTTTGGAGCATTTTGGGGTTTGGGGGGATTTAGGGGATTTTGGGGTTTGGGATTTGGGGATTTTTGGAGGATTTTGGGGTTTGGGGGATTTTTGGGGGGGATATTTGGGGGGTTTTGGGGATTTTGGGGTTTGGGATTTGGGGGATTTTTGGGGTTTGGGATTTTGGAATTGAGGGGATTTTTGGGGAATATTTGGGGTTTTTGGGGATGTAGGGGATTTGGGTGTTTGGGATTTTGGGGATTTTTGGGGGATTTTTGGAGGATTTTGGGATTTAGGGGATTTTTGGGGTTTGGGATTTTGGATTTAGGGGATTTTTGGGGGATTTTTGGAGCATTTTGGGGTTTGGGGGGATTTAGGGGATTTTGGGGTTTGGGATTTGGGGATTTTTGGAGGATTTTGGGGTTTGGGGGATTTTTGGGGGGGATATTTGGGGGGGTTTTGGGGATTTTGGGGTTTGGGATTTGGGGGATTTTTGGGGTTTGGGATTTTGGAATTGAGGGGATTTTTGGGGAATATTTGGGGTTTTTGGGGATGTAGGGGATTTGGGTGTTTGGGATTTTGGGGATTTTTGGGGGATTTTTGGAGGATTTTGGGATTTAGGGGATTTTTGGGGTTTGGGATTTTGGATTTAGGGGATTTTTGGGGGATTTTTGGAGCATTTTGGGGTTTGGGGGGATTTAGGGGATTTTGGGGTTTGGGATTTGGGGATTTTTGGAGGATTTTGGGGTTTGGGGGATTTTTGGGGGGGATATTTGGGGGGTTTTGGGGATTTGGGGGACTTCAGGGGGGATTTTTAGGGGATTTTGGGGGTTTGGGATCTGGGGGATTTTTGGGGTTTGGGATTTTGGAATTGAGGGGATTTTTGGGGAATATTTGGGGTTTTTGGGGATGTAGGGGATTTGGGTGTTTGGGATTTTGGGGATTTTTGGGGGATTTTTGGAGGATTTTGGGATTTAGGGGATTTTAGGGGTTTGGGATTTTGGATTTAGGGGATTTTTGGGGGATTTTTGGAGCATTTTGGGGTTTGGGGGGATTTAGGGGATTTTGGGGTTTGGGATTTGGGGATTTTTGGAGGATTTTGGGGTTTGGGGGATTTTTGGGGGGGGTATTTGGGGGGTTTTGGGGATTTGGGGGACTTCAGGGGGGATTTTTAGGGGATTTTTGGGGTTTGGGATTTTGGAATTGAGGGGATTTTTGGGGAATATTTGGGGTTTTTGGGGATGTAGGGGATTTGGGGGTTTGGGATTTTGGGGATTTTTGGGGGATTTTTGGAGGATTTTGGGATTTAGGGGATTTTTGGGGTTTGGGATTTTGGATTTAGGGGATTTTTGGGGGATTTTTGGAGCATTTTGGGGTTTGGGGGGATTTAGGGGATTTTGGGGTTTGGGATTTGGGGATTTTTGGAGGATTTTGGGGTTTGGGGGATTTTTGGGGGGGATATTTGGGGGGTTTTGGGGATTTGGGGGACTTCAGGGGGGATTTTTAGGGGATTTTTGGGGTTTGGGATTTTGGAATTGAGGGGATTTTTGGGGAATATTTGGGGTTTTTGGGGATGTAGGGGATTTGGGTGTTTGGGATTTTGGGGATTTTTGGGGGATTTTTGGAGGATTTTGGGATTTAGGGGATTTTTGGGGTTTGGGATTTTGGATTTAGGGGATTTTTGGGGGATTTTTGGAGCATTTTGGGGTTTGGGGGGATTTAGGGGATTTTGGGGTTTGGGATTTGGGGATTTTTGGAGGATTTTGGGGTTTGGGGGATTTTTGGGGGGGATATTTGGGGGGTTTTGGGGATTTTGGGGTTTGGGATCTGGGGGATTTTTGGGGTTTGGGATTTTGGAATTGAGGGGATTTTTGGGGAATATTTGGGGTTTTTGGGGATGTAGGGGATTTGGGTGTTTGGGATTTTGGGGATTTTTGGGGGATTTTTGGAGGATTTTGGGATTTAGGGGATTTTTGGGGTTTGGGATTTTGGATTTAGGGGATTTTTGGGGGATTTTTGGAGCATTTTGGGGTTTGGGGGGATTTAGGGGATTTTGGGGTTTGGGATTTGGGGATTTTTGGAGGATTTTGGGGTTTGGGGGATTTTTGGGGGGGATATTTGGGGGGTTTTGGGGATTTGGGGGACTTCAGGGGGGATTTTTAGGGGATTTTGGGGGTTTGGGATTTTGGAATTGAGGGGATTTTTGGGGAATATTTGGGGTTTTTGGGGATGTAGGGGATTTGGGGGTTTGGGATTTGGGGATTTTTGGAGGATTTTGGGGTTTTGGGTTTTTTTGAGGTCTAGTGTTTTTTGGGGGGGTTTGGGGGGGGGGTTGGGAATTTGAAATTTAGGGGATTTTTGGGGGATGTTTGAGGTTTGGGGGGATTTTTGGGGGATTTGGGGTTTCAGGCTCACCCGGGCGGGTCCCGGCTCCGTTTCGAGGCGGTTCCGGAGCTGCTGCGGATCCGGGAGAGGCTGAGCAGGGCCGGGATCCCGGGAACCCGAACCCCAAATCCCCAAATCCCCAAAATCCCAAACCCCAAATTCCCAAATCCCCAAAACCCCCCAAACTCCCAAAACACCAAATTTCCAAAAATCCCAAACCCCCAAAAAACAGATGGCAAGGTTCTCCCCCCCCACGCAGTGCGCATGCGCGGTTCCCTTTGCAGTACGCCCGCTTTGCGCATGCGCACTGGAATTTCCGTACAGCATAATGGCCGCCTTCCTACAGCAGAGTTCCATTTTCCGTACAGTGTCATGGCCGCCCTGCGCATGCGCACTGGAATTTCCGTACAGCATAATGGCCGCCTTCCTACAGCAGAGTTCCATTTTCCGTACAGTGTCATGGCCGCCTTGCGCATGCGCAGTACCAGTTTCCGTTGCGGTGTCATGGCCGCTAGGCGCATGCGCACTGGGTTTTCCGTACAGCATCATGGCCGCCTCCGTACAGCAGAGTTCCATTTTCCGTACACTGTCATGGCCGCCTTGCGCATGCGTAGTTTTATTTTCCCGCGCGGTGTCATGGCCGCTAAGCGCATGCGCACTGGAATTTCCGTACAGCATCATGGCCGCCTTCCTACAGCACAGTTCCATTTTCCGTACCGTGTCATGGCCGCTAGGCGCATGCGCACTGGAAATTCCTCTTCTGCGCGCAAAGCACCAAGCTTGTTTCCTGACCAGAGCTTGTTTTTGAGGCTCGGGCCGCCCGAGCCGCCGCCGCCCCCCGCCCTGCGCTCACAGACACCGCCCCGCGCGCCGCTCGCCGCGCGCTCCCGCCCCGGCACCGGCGGCTGCAGTACCGCCCTCTGCCCACAATGGGGGCAGCACTTTTCAAGCGAGCCCGCCACCAGGGACTCGCAAGATGGCGGCCCGTGGGGACCTGGACGGAGAGAGGCGTATTACGCCGATGCCCGTCGGCCCCCGCCAAAAACCCGCACGCTCGCGGTGCTGCTGACCCCACAGCCCCTGTGCACGGCACCGGAACCGCCGCGGAAAATCCCGTCGGGGGGCGCCGGCGTTGGGGACAATTCAGGCAGTGTAGAAAAAACAGACACGGGTCCTCGAATGCCGACGTCCTCTTTTTCGCGCCATCTCGAGAAGGTCAAGCGAGTCCGCGACAAGCCACTCCCAAGATGGCGGCCGCGGGCGGCGGGCTGCAGTACCGCCCTCTGCCCACAGGGCGGCAGCACTGCCGCCCGCCACCGCCGGGGGCCGCCGCTCGCCTCGGGGCCGCGGGCGGGGCCGGCGGCAGAAAAGAACGGGCGCGATGCCCTCCGGAACCTGCCCTGCAGCAAATGCCCCAAAACATCCCGCGCGGAAAAGAACGCCAGCAAAAAAACCCCTGCCTCTAACCCAACAGGAACCAAAAGCAAAAACCTTCTCTTTTAAACTGCATTTCAAGCTCTTTTATTTTTATATTTTTCATATTTATATTCACATTCGGATTTATAACGTATATTGATGTGTAATTGTATTTTTATAATTTCTTACATTTATTCCTTTATTACAATTTATATTTTTATGCATTGCTTAATACATTGCTTACATATTTCTATAGATAGATTTCTATTTCTAAAAGGTTTATATTGCTTAAAATAAACCCCTGCCTCTATCCAAGTAAAAATCTTTTAAAAACCCCTTTTCTTTTAAACTGCGTTTAAATTTATCTCTATATTTCGCATTTATATTCAAATTTACGTTTAAAATGTAGATTGATGTATGGTGTTATATGAAAGTATAAAATAGAAATGAAAATAAATATTCAGAAGAGATAGAATAGAAAAATCTCTGCATACATTGAATATATATTTCTATATTTAGAATGATATCAAAATAAAAGGTATATTCATTTTTCTTCCATTAAAACCCTGCCTCTAACCAAATAAAAAGCAAAAAAAAAGCCCCTTCTTTAAACGATACTTGAATATTTATATATTGTTTTCATCATTATAGTCACATTTGCATTTCTACTTTATAGTGACGTATTTAGAAATATATATCATATATATATATATATATATATATTAAGGTAGCAAGATAGACAAATTATTATTTATATTATATTTCACACATACTGCTAATACTTATTTTTACTTACCTTTGAATTTTTTATATAGATCCCCAGCAACAATATTTAGAGCATCTGCAAATAAAAGACTGGGAAACAGTTATTTTACTCCATCAGAACTTGGGAAAGGCCAGATTTAGATCTCTCCAAAGGGTCAAAGCTACATAACACCAGTTAATACCATTTACTGTAGAAGCTGAACTGATTTTGGTCTACACATAAGTTTCCTGTTTCTGCCAAACTTCTGCATGAATATTAAAAGTCTGAAGAATGACCACAAGCAGATCACCTAAACCTACAAGCTCACTGTTTCCCATTTTTAACCATGCCAGGATCTTCTCTTTTGATCACGTGAGTGGACATTTCCCTCTAAAACCTTCTGACCTAACCAAGAAGTCTCACCATTACCACTGTGCTTGTTTATCTCTCCAAAGAAATCAGTGTCCCGAAGCAAAACCTCCCATAACAGAAATGATGGTGACTTTTATGAAGGACATTTTTTGTATTTATCAGGCATTCACTGATTCAATTCCTTGTTATACAAGTAATTCTCCTCCTACAGAAGTTACATTTACCAGGCTGCGGTACCTTAGAGACACCTATGGAAACCGTTTCAAAGAAAGCCAGCGCCTTTGTTACTCTGCAGGCTTCAGGCAACAATGGAGGCAACAATTCATTAAGTGAATGAAGTGCTGTAGGTAATTCCACAATTCCCCTTGGAAGTCATGAGTGAATACCACTCAGTTCTGACGATCTGTCAGCAGTCAATCTGTCTGCAACACAGTTTCTGCCACAGCATAGAAGAGATGCTACTCTGCCTTCGATTTAGTTTCTCCTAATTTAATGGCTCTCCAAATTGTATTCTCTACTGGGATCGCTAATTCACTTCTAGGAAATCATTTTAACAGACCAATTACAACAGCAAATACAAATGCTGTACTCAGAATGAATACATTTATACTCCTCCCTGCTCCTCCTTCTTCCTGACATTTCCTTTATACCTGAATTGCCATGAATGAAGTTTAATACTCTGTGGGCCCTTATGGCAGATGAAGCTCAAATGGTCAGCCTTGCACAGCTCGTGCCTTCATAATCCACCCTCTAAAAACCTTATTCCAAAGTTACCCTAATCCTCATTGGTTTAAAAAAATCCTCTCTGTCTTATCTGCAGTAAGTCAGACTGAAGAAGGTGTCACAAAATTTAACACCACGCAAGGGACTGAAAAAATGTAGAACAGATTCCTGGGGCTCACAGACACAGCCCTGGAGCGGCCTCACTTTTTGCTGGAACTCCCTAAATCCCAAATTTCAGAAGGAAGCCGTGAAATGACTATTTACAAGAGTGGAAGTCAGGGCTGTGCTTGCAGCCTGACCAGAATTGCCTTTGTCTCCATCCCCTTCACCCATTTACAGTTCTGATGAGTGACCACCCCCAGCAGCCTGAGATGACCACTCCTCCCTTCAGATCTTTGCTACCTGCTAGATAAAAAAGACATTTTCATAGGGGAAAAAAAAAAAAAAAATTATTAGAAGCATTTTGACTTTTCTTTAATAAATACTAAAGGGGGAGAGGTGGTGGTGATAGGGAGATAAAGGGGTTTGCATCATCGTAACCCAAATCTGATTAATTTTTTGGGGTGAAGAGATGATTTATGTGATATTGCCTGGACATTAGACATCTACCTGTAGTTGTGAGCAATCTCAATTCTACACACATTGCTGCAGGTTTGGAGCACTGCTGGTGCAGGCTGGCAAGTGGGGGGGTCTGTACTGATGGGATCCAAAACACAGCTCCCTCGGTGGCATTTGTGCCACTCACTTTAGTGCGGTGGGGTTTGTGTGGTAGGCACATTCACTGCTGTCTCAGGATTTTTTCATAGAAGAACACAGAACAAAGAAGAACACAGAAGAAAGAAAAAGAAAACAATTTCTATTTCTGCTCCTTCTTTTCCCTATGTGGAATGTGTTTGGAGAATTACTTACCTGGGGTGAGTGCTTGGTTGGATTCTGGTGAGGATTGCTTGAGTCTGATGGCCAATCCAACC